GTAAGCCTAGGCGCGGGCGCTGTGGCTTCCACGCCTGTAATCCTAGCTCTTGGGAGGCCGGAGGCGGGCGGATTGGCAAGGTCAGGAGTTCGAAAACAGCCTGAGCAAGAGCGAGACCCGTCTCTACTATAAATAGAAAGAAATTAATTGGCCAACTGATATATATATAAAAAATTAGCGGGCATGGTGGCGCATGCCTGTAGTCCCAGCTACTTGGGAGGCTGAGGCAGAAGGATCACTCGAGCCCAGGAGTTGAGGTTGCTGTGAGCTAGGCTGACGCCACGGCACACTCTAGCCTGGCAACAAAGCGAGACTCTGTCTCAAAAAAAAAAAAAAAAAAAAAAAAAAAAAAAAAAAAAAAAAAAAGACAATTAAGTTGAGTTCACACCTTGTTAACAAGATATGAAAATGGTGTGCCCTGCGATGGGGGGGCGGGCCGCCTGGCCACAAGCGCGGTGGAGAGGTTTGAGGCGAATGAAGCAGCCAGGAGCTGATACAGAAATGGGAGCCTCTTGCTCAGGCTGGTTTCGAACTCCTGACCTCGAGCAATCTGCCCGCCTCGGCCTCCCAGAGAGCTAGGATTACAGGCGTGAGCCACCGCACCCGGCCTCCTTCCACTTCTTAATGGCTTTTCCTGCCTCTACATATAGACCCACTCAATGTCTTTCCTGTTCAGTAGCCAGAGAAGAACTGTAGAGCACACCCATCGGTCCTCACTCAAAGACCTCCTATGGCTCTCTATTGCCTTAGAATAAAACTGAAACCCCTCACCATGGCCTATAAGGCCTGCATGGGTAGCCCCTGCCTAAAGCTCTTCATTTCACCTCCCCCCCTCAATCCCCTCCATTCATTGGCCCTTACATACACTGGCTATCTGGCCCTCAGCAAACCCTGGGAAGAGACTTGCATTTGTCGAGCATGCGCCCCAGGGAAACCTCCTCATACCCACATAGAGACAGGGAGATTCACTGCAGCATCGTTTCTGCAATCAAGAAAAACTGGAAACAACTTAAATGCCTATTAAGACAGCCTGATGGAATAATTATAGTTTATTCATACCATGGGCAATATCAAGCGGAGATTTTTTTTCAATTTTTTTCCCCACTACTAAATACAATAAGAAAATATATTTTACACTGTGGACCAGTGACAGCAGATTGTATTTTCCAAAGAGGCTTCAGCTATGTCTCTTCAGTGGTGAGTGGTGGCCCATGCCTGTAATCCCAGCACTTTAGGAGGCCAAGGCAGGAGGATCACTTGAGGCCAGGTGTTTGAGATCAGCCTGGGCAACATGGCAAGACTCCATCTCTAAAAAAAATTTTTTTTAATGCGCTGGGTGTGCTGGTGTACATCTGTAGTCCCAGCTACTGGGGAGGCTGAGGCAGGAGGATCACTTGAGCACAGGAGTTCAAGGGTGAAAGTGAACTATGATCATGCCACTGCACTCCAACCTGGGCAACAGAGTGAGACCCTTTCTCAAAAAAAATTGAAAAAAAAAAAAGTTCTGGAGATGAATGGTGGTGCTGATTGCACAATAATGTGAATGAAATTAATGCCATGAAATTCTACACTTAAAAATGTGTAAGATATTAGGTGAATGTGGTGGTGGCTCACACCAGTAATCCCAGCTGCTTGGGGAGGCTGAGGCAGGAGGATCACTTTGAGCTCAGGAGTCTGAGGCTGCAGCGAGCTGCGATGATGATTCGACCGCACTCCAGCCCGGGCAACAGAGTGAGACCCTGTGTCAAAAAAAAAAGAGGAAAAGTAATAAAATATGAATGTTCTAACAAACATCTATAATGGATTTTATTTTATTTTTGCTGCCTCAGCCTCCCGAGTAGCTGGGACTACAGGCATGCGCCACCATGCCCGGCTCATTTTTTTCTATATACGTTTTTAGCTGTCTAGGTCATTTCTTTCTATATTTTTTAGTAGAAACGAGGTCTCGCTCTTGCTCAGGCTGCTCTCGAACTCCTGAGCTGAAATGATCCTCCCGCCTCGGCCTCCGCGGGTCCTGGGATTGCAGGCGGGAGCCACCGCGCCTGGCCCTAAATGCTATTTTAGATGTCTAAAATTAAACTTACGTGTTTAATAAACACCTGCGTAAAGGAAATGTGAAGCTACACTCGAAGACGCCTGAGCTGTCCCCGGTCCCCGCGTCCCCGCGCCCCCAGGCGGCAGGGACGCCCTCGCCCAGCCCGGCCCGCACGGCGCGTTCAGGCGCTGCCGCGGGCAGCCCGGCCGGCCCGCGAGGACCCCTCACGGCCAAGATGGCGGCGCCCGCGAGGCCAGCGCGCGGCCTGCTCCGGCTGGCGGCGGCCCTGCGCCCGGGTCCCCGCGGCTACCGGGCGCCGCCGCCCCCGCGCCGCTCGCCGGGGCCCTGGTGGCCAGACCCGGAGGACATGCTGACTCCGCGCTGGCAGCGGGGGCCGCGCTACGCGGCCAAGCAGTTCGGGCGTCACGGCGACGCCTCCGGGGTGGCCCCCGGTTCGCTGTGGCCGTCGCGGGAGCAGCTGCGCGAGCTGGAGGCCGAGGAGCGCGAGTGGCACCCGAGCCTGGCGGCCATGCAGGAGTCGCTGCGAGCGAAGCAGCTGGCCGAGGAACAGAAGCGGCGGGACAGGTGCGTGTGCGCGGGCAGCCGTGGGGGCTGCGCGCTGCCGGCTTTCGTGCGCACTCCCCCGGCCGCAAAACAGACTCTGAATGAGTCCACTTAATCGTTCACTAGCAGGTCTTTTTTTTTTTTTTGAAGATCAACGTTGAGCCAGAGTTCAAAGACCAGCCTTGGTGACATAGCGAGGACCCTGTATCCCAGCTACTTGGCGAGGCTTGAGGCAGGGATCACTTGAGCCCAGGAGTTGGAGGCTGCAGCCAGGCTATGCTTACACTCCCAGCCCGCCGACAGAGCAAGGACCCTGTCTCAATTAAAACAAAGAAACAAAGTTATTGCTGCCGTTGTTTTTTTTTTTTTCTTTAACACCTAATATAACCAAAAGTAAGTCCTCCCCTTGGATTTTGCATTGTGCAGAAACAGACAATAAAAGACAATTAAGTTGATTTCACAGCCTTGTGTTAACAAGATATTAAAATGGGGTGTGCCTCACGTGGGGGGCCGGGCGGGGGCCCCTGTGTCCAGGGTGGTCAGGGAAGGCCTCCGGGAGGAAGTGACATATTTGCAGGCACCTGAGATGGTGGGAACAGCCAGGTGGGGGGTGGAGGTTGGAGGGCTGGAAGTACATAAAGTGCGGT